GCACACACGCACACATACACTCACACACACGCGCACGCACATGCGTTTACATGAACACACATGAACGCCCATACACACACACGCACGCGCACACACAAACTCGCATAAAAAAAAACACACACACACACACACACACACACGAAGTAGCCTACTGGGTTCTCTGTCACACACAGAACGCGACGTTGCCGCGTCGTGTTCGAGTACCTTATTCGTCGATTATGGCTCCGGATCCACTTAGTCTAAGTAAATGTCGCATATAAATTAAATATACTCTGGATCTAAAAAATCATATTCAGTATGATTTTTTCGACCGTTGATAGATCAATGACCGTTGATAGGGCGGGGGGGGGGGGGGGTAGAGGTTTACTACTCCCCCCTTTACAGGAAAAGTTGCGGAGCACGCCCCTTTTCGAGTTTTTTCATTTTTAATTCTGAGGATATTTTCCTCATTTTAGTAAAAAACCAGGGGGACCTCTTGGGGGGGGGGGGGGGTACGCCCTAAGGAAGGGGGAATCACCTTCACCAAATAAATAGAGGGACTCATTCAGAGGGATTTCGGTATGTATTTTGAGACTGCAACGTCTCCGGCGCTGCGGAAAGAGCAGCCTCTACGTCTTTGCGTAACAAATTGCAAGCATCCAGCCTCGCCTCCGCAGCTTCGGCTTGTCGGTCGCCTTCGGCGACCAGTCTCAGCCGCTCCGGCTCGTCCGATGCCTACGATTTGTGACAGCAGGCGGAGGCTGCTCTCCCTACGCGCCTCCGGCTCTATAAAAACACTAGTGGTAGGACAGACTCGTACCACGTGGAGTCGGGGTTAATTAATTAAGTTCCTTGACATAATTTGAACCTAACCTATTTTATTTGTTATCTGCCCTAATAGGTGGGTACTGTTTTATACACATTTTATACACATGTTTTTTACAATTTTATACACATATTGCTTTAATTAATTCTTAGAAATCATTAGTTTTACGTTTCGTCCCACAAGCCGGCGAAAGACAGTAAACATGTAAAATAAAATGTTACCGAACGTATGACAACATAACCATACGTAAAACGAACGTTTAATGGCGAGAATTCGATATAATCTGTGGTAGGGATTGACGTAAATATTACAAAAATAATTGATTTTCAATAATTTTTCCTCAAAAAGTATGCGTTTCCGCATGTTAAAATTTTGCGTGTGTGCTTACAATAATGTAACTTTTCTGTAAAAAAAATATCATATAATCTGAGGTAGGGATTGACATAAATATTGCAAAAATAATTGATTTTCAATAATTTTTTTCTCTAAAGGTAGGCGTTTCCGCATGTTGAAACTTTGCGTTTGTGCTTATATTAACGTAACCTTTCTGGAAAAAAAATCAACCCCCAACTCGACGGACGTCAATGAAAATGGAAATTTCACATGCTATTGAAGGAAATTTTTTCATTTAAAGCTTGTTACTAGTTGAGTACACTTACGCATGCCTGTCATACACTAAGAGTGCCTGGTCCTGGTTATGCAGTGTTCTTGATTATACCCCCTTTTCCCCAGCCACATATTTTCCACTCAATATGGCAATGTGTTTTCTTCTAATGCGCACATACTTTAATGTAATTGCTACTGAGTTGCACTATTCTGATCTTGAATGTTTCAATTAATGAGTATTTAACCCAAAATTGCATAACTCAATCTTTTTTTTTTATAGGATAAGGGTGACAAACAAGCACACAGTCCACCTGATGGTATGTGGATGCTGTGGCCCATAAACATCTACATTTGATTAAGAATCAAAATGCAGATGCGTTGTCACCCCTGAGGATGACTAAGATGGATCCACCTGATGATATGTGGATGCTGTGGCCCATAGACATCTCCATTTGATTAAGAATCAAAATACAGATGCATTGTCACCCCTGAGGATGACTAAGATGGATTGCCTAAATCCCAGTAAAATGGGTCTCCGGTTCTCTACACTCACCATACGAAACACAGCATCATTCAGCTGCTATTTTATGCTGGTTTTCTGTGAGAGTGTGGTCCTTCCCCGGTCCAGCCGACCCATTCTTGCTACAACCATAATATAGCTGCAGCGAGGCTCTACCATGTAAAATTTTTTTTCAGAAACTTACAAAAGGCCTCCACTTCAAAGGATGCATATCAAATTAGAAAACAGTCTAAACCTCAACAACAAAGAGGAAAGTAAAAATTGTATCAAGTAATATGTATTATATAGTTAGTATGTCTGCTGAATATAAATTAGCTATATTGTCAAATGTTATCTTATAATAACATAAAATAAATTAGATTAGAACATATTGTGTTTGTTGAAGTGAGTTCCACCGCATTTCAAAATGCAAAAATAAGTTTTGTCGAGCAACTGAATACATGTCCAAAATGCCATACTGTATTGTGAAAACATACAAAAACTATTTATATTTATTTTCCATAAGAACTACTAATATTTAATAATTTAAAAGTAATATTATGCATAGATATGTACAAAGTATTTAATTTAAATTTCTATTAATTGTAAAACAAATAACCATAACGATAATTTTCACTAGAATCTTCATAAGATGAAAATAGTGCAACCTCTAGTCGAAATCAATAGGCTGATAAATTGTCACAAGTAAAATTGAGTAGTTTTATAATGACAATATGGTTTGAACTAGGATGGTATAGTTTTTTTTATTTCTATATGTGTGCCTACACTTAATTTCGGTTAACTGGGACACATTTTTTGTGAATTTTGTTCTATTCATTTAGTAGTAGGTCAATGCTTAAATTTAATTTAATAGTTTTTATTTCAATAAACTGTATAATTGTACAGTTTATTGAAATAAAAACGATTAAATTATGATGTTACAATAATGTCCTACTTAATTTAAAATAGTCTACTATAACAGGCACCTGAACTAGGATAAACCTGTATCTCAAGTGTATGTGCCAAGCACATTAACAAATATTTTCCGTTTCTTATATAAAATGAATAACACTACTTACTGATTAGAGTTATTTCGGTAAAATATATTATCATTGATTAACTTAAAATCAGCAACTGTTCCATATCATTGTATGACAAATTTTGTAACCATGTTTGAATTACATTTTTACAACCTGCCATTTTTAATGGAGTTATACAAATTTGCATTGACTTGATTATACAGAAAAGACTGAGGGAACATAAAAAATCTATCACATTCCATTAGGTTAAACAATACTATTATCCCATACTTATGTATAAATCCCATACTTATGTATAATAAAGTGAAATAGCTGGAGTAACTGATTTATTATAGCAGATTATTAACTATTGAAGTGAGCAACATGGAATTTACATAGTAGAAGCTACAAATAACCTTTTTAGCAGAAACTCCCACTACGAAGAATTTTTGAACGGAATATGACAGGAGTATGATTGTGGCTGAGAGTCTCTCATTTTTAAAAGCAAGAAATGTAGTTTTTTTTTTTATAGAATAGGGTAACAAACGAGCACACAGTCCACCTGATGGTAAGTGGTTGCAGCGGCCCATAGACATTTACATCTATCCTCCATTAAAAATCAAAATGCAGATGCGTTGTCACCCGTGAGGACTGAGATGGAATGCCTCGTTTCCAGTAAAAAGGGTCTCCGGTTCTCTACACTCACCATACGAAATGCAGCAGCATTAAGCTACTATTTCACGCTGGTATTCTGTGAGAGCGTGGTCCTTCCCCGGTCGAGCCGACCCATTCGTTCTAAAACTATACTACTAATATAACTGCAGCATGGATCTACCACGTAAAAGTTTGATTTGATGAAGGCTTTTGTTTAGAAATACTGAACATGGTAGAGCCACGCTGCAGCTATATTAATGGTTGTAGCACGAATTTGTCAGCTCAACCAGTGTATGACCACACTCTTACAATAATAGCGTTAAATAGCAGCTTTATTTCGTATAGTGACAAAACTGGAGACTGTTTTTTACTGTAAACAAGGCATTTCATCTTAGTCCTCAGGGGTGATAACGCATCTGCATTTTGATGCTAAATTGCAGATAAATGTAGATGTTTATGGACCACAGGATCTTCTTCCCACCAGGTAGACTGTGTGCTTGTTTGCCACTCTTTTTCTATAAAAAATCTACTAATGTCTGAGCTAAGCCACTGGCAATAGTTAGTATATCTTACAAAAGGCTATTGAATGACTGACAGTTTTTTGTATATCTTTTAACAGAAAAATAAATTTTTTTATTCTGTTTGCTTTTAGCTGGAAGTAAGAAGAAAGTCTTACATAGAGAAGATTAAAAATTTTAAGACTTACTAACAATTAAAAACGAGGCTGTTGAAATTACAAAATAAGTGCAAAGATGTTAAAAAGTTCTACCATATAGCAGAGATGGTAAGCAGAAATGAAAGCTTAATAAACATAATTGATAAGCTGCCAAAAATAATATAGACTTTTATGAAACTTCAATTGAAATCTCTACAGAAACCAAAAGGCAGAAAGTTTACTGTAAAAGAGAAATTTTTTGCATTATCAATGTTAAAACAAAGTTCTGGGCTTATAACTTTTTAATCAAAATTTTGGTACTACCATCCAAAGGTACTTTACAGAAAATCCCTAAAAATATAGTGATTGAACCAACTAAAAGCAATATATTGAAAGCATTAATTATTGATATAATTAGAAGATTAAGAGAATGTGGCTTAATTATTGACGCTACAATTTGTGACCAAGGCACATGTAATGTATCTTCAATTAATTGTCTTTTAAAACATTCAAAAGAAAAATATTTAAGGCATAATAAAGTCTACAAAAGCAGTATAATAGAAATTGATAATATACCTTTATTCCATATTTATGATCTTCCCCATTTATTAAAGGGACTAAGAAATAATTGGATTAGTAAAAATATATGATTCATTTTCAATGGTGAAGTCATGATGGCAAAATGGGAACATTTAAAAATGCTTTTAGAAATTAATGTAGAAGAAGATGATTTAAGAAAGTTAAACAAATTAACAATTCATCATGTGCAACAAGATTTCTGAAGAAGTGCAAGTTTTCAGTCAAAGAGTTGCAGCCACAGTGAACTTTTTAGCAAGTAAGTTGCTTATAGTTTTTTTTAAAAACGTTACCCCCCACACTAGGATTTTCTCCTATATTATGAAGGCAGTTTACAAACATAAGAATTGGAACAATTATTTGTAGGCTGTAGGCTTGTTTCGTGCGGGATTCGAACCCGTGGCCTCCAGCGCAGCCACTCATTGCTAAGCCACTGCGCCACGAACATAAAATATACAAAATAACATAAAATGCAACATTAGAATATTATAATATAAAATGTTATCTTATTTATTTAATAGTTGTTATTTATTTGAGAACTGTTGCAAATACTGAATTAAAATAATAAGATCCCCACACTAGGATTTTCTCCTATATTATAAAGGCAGTTTACAAACATAAATTGCACAAGGAAAAACATCCAGACCCAGAACAATTATTTGTAGGCCGTAGGTTTGTTCCGTGCGGGATTCGAACCCGCGGCCTCCAGCGCAGCCACTCATTGCTAAGCCACTGCGCCACGAACATAAAATATACAAAATAACATAAAAAATAACATTAGAATATTATAAATATAAAATGTTATCTTATATATTTAATAAGTAGTTGTTATTTATTTGAGAACTGTTGCAAATACTCTTGAATTAAAATAATAAGATATCCATTTTTTGTAAGACTAACATGCAGTTTGTATGAAAAATATTATGTTAAGACGTACAATCCATATTACTCGGCAAAGAAGCGTGAAATGAGGACAATAGTTCTTTATATTACATAGGCATCCAAAAAGAAAATATTTTGGAAAATTAAAACCCTAAGATGGTGAAAAAGGGTGGCACAGTTTCTATGAAACTTTTTATTTTGTAGGGCGATTGTCTCAAAACAAACCCGCACAGGGAGGGCGGAGGGTATTCAAAGTTGTATAAAGAAAAAATTATGAATGTTTTCTCAAACTTCCTGTCTCAAAATCATTCCGTCTTAAGCGTCGGCGCGAGTCGGTCGTTTAACTATGGTTCATAAAAGATAGCTTGATCTCTGCGACAGCTGTCAGTAAAAATCACTCCTATGAAATCCTGAATTTCTTAGTAGTACAGACACACTCACCTCTATATATACACTTGTATATAGAGGTATGATACAAGTGTATATATAGAGGTCAGTGTACAGACAGTACCTGTCAATGTCATACTTTATGGGCATGCACTAATTAGGTCGGCATGCCCATAAAGTATGACATTGACAGGTACTGTCTGTACTACTAAGAAATTCAGGACTTCATAGGCGTGATTTTACTGACAGCTGTCGCAGAGATCAAGCTATCTTTTATGAACTATAATTGTATTGTGCCGTGCGTATGTGTGCAAGCATCGGAGTTTAACGTTAATGCTATATCGACATCACTCGAACGCATCGTGGAGATTTTGCACAGATTAATTTCACAACAGAGCGGTCAAGTTATAAACATGACAACTGTAAACAGTACATTTACGCAAGAGTGTGAAACTGAACAAGATTTAAGACCCGGAGAAATGAGTGTTAACGAGTCATTTATTGAAAATCCTCTCCTCCTCATTGTATAACATTTCGGAAAGGTAGTTGCGTGATTCCTGTAATTTCCGATCTACAACAAGAATTTAAAACTTCAAAGCAGTTTACGTAACAGGCTTGATTCCTGGTGCTCAAAACAAGAAACAAAATTTAATACCCTTCTTAATGACTTCGACGAAATTAAAACCACGCTGAAATTTGTCAGTGATAAATACGATGATTTAGACAAAAGAACTCACGATGTCAGCAAGCGCGTATCTAGAATAGAACAGCAGCTGAAATCCACACCGGTCTTCGAAGCACGTATCTCTGAATTAGAAACTAAACTGGCTGAATTTGAACAAAAATCTCGAAATTGTAATATTGAGATAAGTAATCTGCCTGAAAAACGAAGCGAGAACTTAATACAAATACTGGAGAATATTGCTAAAGTCATAAAGCAACCAATAAATATATATATATAATGAGCACTTAACTATTCAAAGTAAGAATTTGTTTCGTCAAACTCGTGAAGCTGCAAAACAGAACGGATATAGATTTGTGTGGATCAAGCGCGGAATTGTACTGGTTCGTGCAAGCGAAACATCTGCTATTTTTGCTATACGAAGGGAACAAGATATATTATCGAAAATTAAACCAAAGGATACCAAATGATGGATTTGCTTGTGAAATAGTTATTAGTAATAGGTTTGTGCAAGCGAAACATTGCTATTTATGCTATACAAAGATAACAACATCAATTATCGAAAAGTAAACATAATGATACCACATAACAAATTTGAAAATAATATGAATAAGGTACGTCTTCTTATAAGATTTATTTGCAAGCTCTTAGTGTTGCATTACTCTATGTGTTGTTTACGACTGGGACAATTCTTTTACCACATATATTTTTCTGCGGCCACCGTCACAATGACTATTTTGTATTTACATTTTAATACAATTCACGATTTACGTTTTCTAACAAATAACATAATACAATTATTACAGACTAAATTACTTTTAAAGAATCTTGTACACGAACAAATTTTTGCGATATATAGTTCTATATGTTTTTTATTTCGAATTTTACACTTTTTCATATTTTATTTTTGAAATTATTACTAGTAATTCTTAAAACATATACTATTTATAAAGATGACTTATAAAATACAGGTATACTATCAGAATTGTAGAGGTTTGAGGACAAAGTTGAGTACTTTATTCAATAATATATTCTTGGAACATTATGATATAATAATTCTCACGGAAACATGATTGACCTCGAATATTGCAGATAGTGAATTCATTGATTCGCGTTATCTAGTGTACCGATGCGATCGAAATCGAGAGTTAAGTGGTAAAACAGACGGTGGAGGTGTATTGATTGCGGTGCGCATGGGGCTAAATGACACTCGATGTATTTTAAAACCCACTTTTCACTGTGAAGACGAAATTATAAATGTCTCATCTAATATTGACTATGTGATACTTAAGTTTTATTCTAAGCAACACAACGAATATCACGCTGTTGGCGGTGTTTACATACCACCAAATCAACCCTTAACTGCTTACCAATTATTTTTCAACTCTCTCCAAAATGAGCTTATGTGTAACGAAAATACAAAAATATATATTTTCGGGGACTTTAATCTACCCGACATTGAGTGGCTGCAGTATGACGGGAGTACATGTACTCCAAATACACATTACTGCAAAAATCCAATGACTGCTCGTTTCAAATTTTTTATCAATTGTAGGTTGCAAATAATTTAATTTAATTAAAAATAATAAGAATCGCATCTTAGATCTTTTCATTTCAAATAATGATATAAGTACTTGTAAGTCACCACTAAACTCTTTAGTTCCGATAGACGTCTTTCATCCACCACTTAACGCCGAGATACTTTTCAATGTAGAATACATACAATTGGCGCGTAAAACTTTACCAAAATACCGATTCTCCGAGAGTAAATATGCAGATATTAATGACGATATTAAACGTGTAGACTGGGCAAGTATTTTAGAGGTGCCGTCCTTAGACACTGCCACCAACCACTTTTATGAAGAGATATATGAAATCATTAGGAAACACGTACCTTTATGCCAAATCAAATCTAAAAAGTTTCCAATATTGTTTACACGCCCACTAATACACATATTTAAAAATAAAGAAAAATCATGGATAAAGTGGAAAAAAATTTTCTAACCAAGTAGATTATGAGGAATACTCTGTACTTCGAAAAAGATTTAAACAACTTTCCGCGCAGTGCTTTAATTCATATTTAAGTAAAATTGAAACAAGTTTGCAGAAATACATCAAAGTATTTTGGTCTTTTGTAAACAATAACAAAATGTGGTATTCCCAACGTAATGTCTCACAATGGACATATGTGATTTTTTTTCTAACTATTTTACTTCACTTTATGAGAACAGCTCACTGATGACGTACGACATAGATTCACTTCCTTGCTCATCAAACACTAACTTTATTATCTCAGATATATCATTTTCAAAAAACACAATAGAACAATATCTAAAAAACTTAGATATAACTAAAAGTTCAGGATCAGATGGTATCTCACCTTTTTTCTTCAAACGTACTGTTAGCTCAATAAGCGTACCTCTGTTCTATTTGTATAACCGCAGTTTACGTGAAGGTTTAGTCTGGAAATCTGCGAATATAACCCCAGTGTTTAAAAACGGTTCTAAAACTGACGTGACTAATTATAGACCTATTTCCTTACTTTCTGCCTTATCAAAAGTCCTTGAACGATTAGTACATAATTCAATTTATCCGAGTTTACACAACTTACTAATTCCAGAACAACATGGTTTCGTAAAACACCGATCGACCATCAGTAATCTTATTTTATATACAAACTTTCTGTTTGATAATATGGACAATCTAATACAAACTGATACTGTTTACACAGACTTTTGTAAAGCTTTTGATAAAGTGGATCATTCCATCCTTCTTCAAAAACTTGCGTTCAATGGTATACGTGGAAACTTATTGCGGTGGTTCTCTTCGTACATTATTAATAGGACCCAAAAAGTTGTGGTTAATGGATTCTCCTCTGGCGAAAAATTAGTGTCCTCAGGTGTACCACAGGGATCTATACTAGGTCCGATGCTCTTCACATTGTATATAAATGATATTCAGTCTTGTTTTCTAAATAGCAATTTTTTGTTATATGCAGATGACCTGAAAGTTTATCGAAGTGTAAAGTCCCTTAATGATTGTGAGAAGCTACAGGAAGATCTTGACCGGTTATCTAACTACTGTCTAATCAATAAATTGCAATTAAGCATCCCTAAATGTAAATCTATTTCTTTCACCAAAAAACGTAAAAACCTACAATTACATATATTCCCTTCTTAACAGTCCCTTAGAAAAAGTATCATTAATAAAATATTTAGGCATCCTTTACGATTCAAATCTAACCTTTATTGCTCATATCAGCCATGTAACAAATAAAGCGTATCAAATGTACGGAATTGTTGCACGAACGTGTAATTTTTTTAAAAGCTCCTCATCTTATTTACTACTTTTCAATTCACTTATAAGACCACAAATTGAATATGCAACGCAAGTATGCAACCCCTATTATAATAAATACGGTGAACTTCTAGAATCATTACAAGCAAGGTTTCTTCGTTTTATAAATGTTACCACGCTAAATCATCGTATCGCAACTTATTAAAAAAGTTTTCAATTCATACTTTAAAGGAAGAAGAATATACTTTGATCTAATACTATTATTCAAAATAATTTGAAATGATTTAGATTCTAGTGAACTACTTAACAAAATATATATCCGTGTCCCTAGTCGTTCTCAACGCATTAGAGACGTGTATACACATAAATTGTTTGCGCCTAAACTATGTAAAACCAATGCAGGTAAACGCGCCCCATTAAGACGTATTATGAAAGTATATTATAACATGCATTTTTCAAATATTGATCTATTAACTTCATCACAGTTACAATTTCACAAGAACTACACTAAAATATTTTACAAGATAAATTTGTACTGTTAGCAATTTTTTTTCCTTTTGTCTCATTTTGATTTTTATGTTACTGAGTACTGTCAATTTTATTTTATTTTCCCTTTTCCACTTATACTCTGTTTATTGTGCATTTATTATTTACTATTACCAATTTAATATTACTTTGTGGATAACGGTGCTGGTTACATAATGACTAATATTATTTATAAAATGTTATTTGGTTTAAGCATTATTATGTAATTGTTTGTTGTCCTGAATAAATTAAAAAAAAACTATGAAAATGGTGTAATTTCAAGCCCTTAGTGTGAAATAGGGTGTACAGTTTGTACTTTTCACTTTATGGAGCCATTTTATATGTATATGTTAAGATTAAAGTTACAGCCTATATACGATTTACTGCTGGGCACAGACCTCCCCTTATTTCTGATAGAGTTTTGGGGCTAGAGGTGTCCCCGCGCTGCCCTAATGCGTGTTGGCGAACTTCATGTGTGTTATACGTGGTAGAGCCATGCTGCAGTTATATTAGTAGTATAGTTGTCGCTATACTACTAATATAACTGCATGAATGGGTCGCCTCGACCAGGGAAGGACCACGCTCTCACAGAATACCAGCGTAAAATAGTAGTTTATTGCTGCTGTGTTTCGTATCGTAAGTGTAGAGAACCGGAGACCCTTTTTACTGGAAACGAGGTATTCCATCTTAGTCCTCACGGGTGACAACGCATCTGCATTTTGATTTGTAATCGAGGATAGATGTAGATGTCTGTGGGCCGCAGCAAACACTTACCATCAGGTTAACTATGTGCTCGTTTGTCACCCTATCCTATAAAAAAATAAAAATATGTCTGATTTATTTTTCCTATTTCTTAGACATGCAGGTTTCCTCACTATATTTTCCTTCACGGCCGAGCACGTAGTAAACCAGCACTTAAAATTGCAATTGACAATTTCTTCTTTCCTTTTTTTCTTATTTTTTTTTGAAAAACGTTACCCCTACACTAGGATTTTCTGCTGTATCGTGTATGGAGTTTACAAACATAAATTGCACAGGGACAAACGTCCAGACCCGGAACAATTATTTGTAGGCTATACAAATACTTGTTCCGTGCGGGATTCGAACCCGCGACCCCCAGCGCAGCCACTCATTACTAAGCCACTACGCCACGGAGTCGTCAAAAGTTTCATTGCCGCTGGCGGGGATCGAACTCTGTTTGATCGCGTACATGAAGTGCGCGTATCGTACTCACATATTTATTTGAAAGTCATATATTCAATTTCAACTTGTGTAATATTATTCCTAATTAAACAATATTATACTTCCAAATGTACAATAACATTTTCAGAATTATTTCTTCCGCGGCTGCAACGCGCCGGGTGCTAGTTTAGTATATTAGTTATTACATCTAATATATATGGCTGGCTACTGTAGTTTAAATTAGCCTCTGTATTTATAAGCAAACGACAACCTGTTAAAGTAGCAATATTGTTAATGCTGGTTTTTTTTACAGGAAATAAAGCATTGCCGGAGGAATGCAGAGGGACAGCTATCTTTATAAATGTGATGGATCAGGTGTTCGACTCATTCAACGGATCAAAGTACAAGGACGACGCAAAACCTTTAAAAGGACGTCCAAGAAGAAAGTGCGCATTTAAAGAAGTGCGCATTTAAAGAAGTGGATCGAATTTTTACTAATTTTGCGTTCAATAGGGTTTGAAACTGTTCACGAGCGAAGAGATGGGACTGAGTTTATAAAATATGTTCAAGTTCAATCTTTAAAAAAAATCACATCATTGGGTTAGGGCAAATTGTAAGAAGGATCGAAATAAACTATTGCAAAATTTAAAATTATTAGTTGTGGAACGCAATATAAATCATGAAGAAAGTGACGATAATATCTACTTGGATTCGTTAATTAAAGTATTAAATGAGAATAATGAACATATGAGTCAGAAAGAATCAAAACAATATGTAGCTGGATATATATAATAAAAAATGTAAAACTATTTTTAAATCTTGCAGAAGGTGCAAAAATGAATTAATTAAGTAATATAATATATCCAGCTACATATATGAAAGGGATTATACAAAAAAAAAACGTTGTTTTCTCCAAGTGAAGCACTGTATCAGCATTTAAATGAAATTAATCACATAACACATGCATTATTAAAAGATTCTGCTGGTATTAAAAAAATTAAAAAGAGAATAACGGACCTTGCGGAAATCTTCTGCAATCCATCTTTTTTGACTTGTCCCATACATAAAAATGATTTGATTTTTTTTTATTAATAATTGTTACGAGTCGTTGCCGGAATCACGCGAGCAATGCCGAGCGGGCTGGCGCCGCCAGGGCGCGCCGTGACACCAATGTTGCCAACCCGAATTTTATAAAATTAGTAGATTATGTTCCAGATGTTGGTAGAAGTTGGTAGAATGTAAAATGCAAAATTGGTAGATCTACCACCTCAACTGAGAAGATTTTTAACTGCTCTTAAAATGTTTATTTTTCAAAACCATACATATTTTTATTGAAAATTTTTAAATGTTCTGCGCTAGGCTGCCCATTGTTTGCTATGAATCTTTTAGAACGCTACAATCCCTCTAGAGTCTCCGTGCAAATTCTATTTCTCTGGAAGGTTTTCATATTATTAATCAATCTCTCAACGTTGGCGCTAGTATGTGGAAGTGCGAGTAATTTTCTCACGAATTCGCATAGCAGGGGAAACATTAGAGACTGGTCTCCTTTTTTAATGGATGAAACATGCTTCCAGATTTCTTCAGGTGTAGGATCCACATTTTTTTCTGTGAAATGAAATGTCGTGTTTCTTAATAATCTCCACTCTCGGTGCAATTCGTTCATGTTTTCTGAGCAAAGTTCTAAAAATAAAAATGTAATGTAAATAAAAAAAATATTCTAGAGTGGACAACATTAATAATTAATTATGTTTAACTTGCCTGAAAACTGAATTCCTAAATGAGCAATAGCATGCATATTTTTCAATGATATGTTTAGGATTCATAAATTTAAGACATTTTAATCTTTGCTTTTCATCAAAACAAAACGCTGCTTTATTTGTTTTACACTCTCCATATAAAACAGAATGCATTTTTCTTTAAACTGTACTATTTCCATTTCATTCCTAAGTATTGTTTCAATAAGAGGGAAATAACATTGCCACCAAGGTATATTTCTTCAATTGATACATGGTGTTGTTTATTTTCATATTCTAAATTCAAAATTTTGTTCTCTAAATCCAAGTTAAGATCCTTTCTACTGTTTTTTTCATCTTCAGTCAGCTGCAATAATTCTGGTTTAATAAAACATTCCAAGATAGTTTTGTATGTTGTAAAAATCCGTTCATATAACAAATAAAGTTTAGGACTTTCTGATTGCATTTCTTTATTAATGTCATGGAAATAGAGCAACACATAATTCAAAAAATTTAAGTATAGCTCTGTTGAAGGATCCATCCACTTCACATGGATGATCTGAGCTGCAAGTAGCTTGTCATTCAAAACAGCATTTTGGAAGTATAACTTTAAAGCTGGAAGCTGTTCTAAAAGCCGTTTGACCGCAGGAAGTAGAGACAGCCATCTTGTTTGAGCTGTGTGTAGAAGTTTGTGGGGTTTTATATCCAGGAAAGACTGGAATTCTTTATAGTCACCCAGACGTTTTGGGCTTCGTTTATAGCCTGGACTGTATGTATGCTGGAAAGCTTGACGCATCTTTGCATGGCTCACGCAACACATAATAATTCAAAGTAGTGATATGTTAAACTAATTATTAAAATAGGTAGTTTTTAGATCTAGGTGGTAGATAGGTAGACTGAAGTGAAAATTGGTAGATCTACCAATAAGTTGGTAGATATGATATTACTGCGTGACACGACACTAAGTATCCGAGCGTCGGCGTGTGCGACGGGTCTTGTGAGAATAAACTTGAGTGTTAAAAAGTATTAAAGGAAACTAAAGTGATTAAGTGTATTGAGGTATAATGAACAGTTGATTGTACAAGATAATTAAATGTATTGAAGCATAAGAAACTTTCATTTTACATTCAGAAGTGGGATATTAATAAAAGAACTTAAAATGAAGCGAACAAAAAAATATAGGAACAGAGTCCTTTTAAACAGTAACTCAAAAATATCTAGACCTCATTTGGATATCACGACTAGTGCTGGGACGTTACACATAGATCAAATACATAGTCAAGGGTCATCCAATCACGGTGATTCTGAAGAGGATATACATCCTAATATATTTCTTGAGCAATTATTAACCGATAAATTAGAAAAGATGGTTGAAAAGTTTTGTGGTGATTCACGGCCGTTGCGGAATGTTTCGGGTGAGAAAATTATACCTACGTTTGATTCGGATAATTATGACACTAATATTAAAAATTGGTTGGCAAAAATTGATCAGTTAGGTATGGTTCACAAATGGGATGACTACTCTAAAATAGTTATAATGCAAACTCGTCTTGTAGGCCAAGCTCAGTTATGTTTTAGTCGTCTTGACGAATATAATTATACTTGGGATCAATGGAAATCTTTATTGATCAAAGCATTTCCTAGAAGTTTCGAGTATGCTGACATATTAGAAGAATTAGTATCCAGGAAAAAGTTGCATAATGGAACAATAACACATTATTATCATGATAAATTAGCAATGTGTCATCGCTGTAGACTAGACGACGCCGCCTCTCTCTCTTGTTTAATTAAAGGGCTGCCACACGATTTACAAAATAATACCAAAGCATTCAAATGTGAAACGCCTGAACAATTCTATTCAGGTTACTTGTCCGCTTTTGAGAATTATAAAAATAAACCGGATCTGAGAAAAGTAGAATCGACCAACATAAGTCATACACGTAATAATAGATTAGAAACGGAGAAGCGAAATTCTGATTTAGCCATACCAACCACATCACGTCCCTGGCCACCATCGACCTCCCGGCGAATGAATTGCTTTAGATGTAATTCTACTGAGCATATGGTTAAAGATTGCCCTGTTCCGGATAGGAGAGTGTGTAGATTTTGTTCTGAAACCGGACATGATATAAATCGTTGCCGTTGCCCCAGAATAGAAAATATGATGAATAAATCGAAGGGCCAATCCGTGTCAATAAATTTATTGCAAAACTTAAATGATATTTATAAAAAAAAGTGTGGAGGTAGGGGGAAGAATTTTTTCTGGTTATTAGGATACTGGAGCACAGTTAAATGTAATATCCTTAAGTGCAATCAAAATATTAAATTATGACGTACGACCAACAGATGCCATTCTAAAAGGATTTACTGGGAATACAGTGCCGGCTATGGGTCGAATAAATCTAACAATGATTATTGATGGTTTGAGTTTCAATACCACAGCAGTGGTGACGCATATGAAGCTGCCTGCCGAGGTTGATATACTGATCGGACAACCTGTAATTAACTCTGAAGGCATATCACTTGTCACAACTCAGAATTCAGCTACATTGAAAGAAAATAATGTATACGATGATAGTTTCTCAGGAAAATATAAAGTAACAAGCTGTTCAGATGTTCAAATTCAATCACAGTAATCCATATTTGTGGAAGTTAATATTGTGGGGAACAGCACTACTTGTGATGTTTGCACTTCACCGAGAGTCCATAACCTAAATAACAAATACTTTGCGGTACCTGCTGCCTTACTAACTGGACAGAATGGATATTTACGCATTTATAACATGGGACAAGAACAGTTAAAATGGAGAAAAGGTGACTTGGTTACACGAGCTGCGCCGTGTGAAATTATGCAAAACGAGTCGACAGAGAAGCGGGTGGGAGGTTGTGACAATGCGAAACTACATGCAAATTAAATGAAGGTGCGTAATTGTTTTTATATATTTAATCTGTCTGTGGCTTCGAGCCTTCTGTCTGTATTACAAATTCTGTCTGTTCTATATAAGTCTGTTCTGTGCTGGTATGTTCTGTATGGGTCTGATCTGCACCAGTTTCTTTCTGTTCCACACCTGTTTCTGTCTGTTGAGTGTATGCTCGAGTGTAATATTACTGCATATTCATAAACGACATGATTTCTGTGCTAGTTTATATGTAGCTTCATTGTTATACATTATTGTTTTTCTTACTGATACTGAACTTAAGCCTCGGTAACTCTGGGGCGAAACGCTCGTCGTAAATTCACGGTGCGTGAGCGGCTCGATCAATCTGTCATCTCATATTCTGATTTTCAACAAAAAAAAAAGGCTTGTGCCATCCGTGGGATGTGTGTGAGCTGTAGCCTTACTTATACTATAATTAACAAAATATTACAATTCTGACTGCTCGTGAAGTACTGTGTGTTATCATGCTTCTTTCACCTGATTCTGTGGCCGCTACATAACTTAATTAAGGCAAAATTATACAAATAAAACGGTCAGTCACAGTTTTCTAGTCAGTAAGTTTAGGCGGCTCAAAACTCAACCTAACTATTGATGATTTTCTGTTGTTACGCTTAACTTTTGTTACATAGTTGTTATCACTTGTGCACATAGCTGAAATGACTGACCAAAGTTTGCAGCGGTACTTATAGCTAGCATTTTAATTTTTTTACAATTATGAGAATTGGTACATGACGGCTTAAATCAATTTTGCTTATGTACTTCCACAGGGGTCTGAGTTGATATAAGTCAACAACATAACGACTTTTACATCAGCTAACACTCTTGAGCATTTACGTACTTTAAAACTTGCAAGTACACCAGTTCCTGACATAGCTGTAGGCGATTTATCTGACTATGACCAATGTCGATTGTTTGAGCTGTTACTGGACTATCAAGATTGTTTTGCTGCTAATTCACATGACCTCGGAGTGACAAATTTATCTGACATGACTATTGAGTTGACTTCAAAGACTCCAGTGTTTCATAAACCATATAGGTTAGGGTATAAGGAACTCGAAATTGTACGAGCCAAGGTTAAGGATTTACTGGATGCAGGAATCATTAGAGAATCGCAGTCTAATTACGCATCACTAGTTGTCCTAGTAAAGAAAAGTAATGGAGATAGTTGGCTTTGTATTGATTACCGAGCACTCAACGCTATTACCGTCAAAGATCTATTCCCTTTACCTCAAATCGACGATCAATTAAATAAGTTATCAGGCAAGTGCTTTTATACCAGTTTAGACTTGGCACAAGGCTATAAGAGTTTCGTTGCAATGGTACCAGCTGACTCATTGCGGCCGTATAAAAGTTCTATCGGTTGTGAAACGGATTCTGCTGATAGCGATAAAGATGTGGTAGATACGCATGATCTGATTAATTTGTTAGAAAGTTAATCTGTTATAAACTGTAAGTGATCGATGTACCTACATCAGTCATTTCAGCTGTAGCAAATATTCTGAATGTTATCTAATGACTTTTCGTGAATACCTTATGGTATTCACTTTGCAGGATGGCCGATGTTACGAGTCGTTGCCGGAATCACGCGAGCAATGCCGAGCGGGCTGGCGCCGCCAGGGCGCGCCGTGACACGACACTAAGTATCCGAGCGTCGGCGTGTGCGACGGGTCTTGTGAGAATAAACTTGAGTGTTAAAAAGTATTAAAGGAAACTAAAGTGATTAAGTGTATTGAGGTATAATGAACAGTTGATTGTACAAGATAATTAAATGTATTGAAGCATAAGAAACTTTCATTTTACATAATCATATGACTTTTAAATAGTTGGTTTCTTATAAATAGTTGGTATTAAAATGTAAATCGTATATTGTAAAAAAAAAAATGATGTGTTGTGACAACCACGTCTAGGTAAAATTACAAGCATATACCTATTGTAAAACTCATAATAATGCAATAAATAACAGCTTCGTATTTTATTACAGGTCTAAGAATTTTGTTCAACATTCCCACTTAAAATACAGTTTAGTAAATGAATAAATTAGATACTATATAGTTATGCCCTCTAGTGGGTGACCATGTAAAGAATCAGCGCTATCTTCAGGAGGTAGCTTGTAATTAATAATTTTAAAACCTCAGTGGCGTATTTACTCCCGATTATACTAGCTTATCTATGGTTTTCTTGTGAGTTGACGTATTAGGTTACGGAGATTGATGAAGACATTACTATTATTAGCTGCTTGTTGAAAGGTGAAGAAGAACGTAAAACTAAACGTAGAATGTGGGTTCATGAATGAAATTATATAATATTATTATTTATATCTTTTTACGATATTATATAAGTGTACTTGTTTATATTATTTTTAATTTATCTTAGGATTAATATTTTCGGAGATAAATGCCGTCAAAAGTTCGCTGCTGGTGATATGCTTATTTTCTCGCTCAAAGAATAAGTAGATTCAGAGAAGAAACGCAGCTTCTTGACATTATACCGTGCGTAGTAGGACTGTATGATGATTTAAATTTTTGGTATATTTTTTTAACATTATAATTTAAATTTCGAAAACGAAGTTGTAAATATTTGTTAACCATGTTATTTGAAGTTTATAATTTTTTTATAACTCGCTAGATGGCACATTGCATTGCATTGCAAGCGCATTGCAGCAGAAATATCGTTTTAAATTTGTAAGAGTTATACTGCTTAATTAGGAATTCAAATTCAAATTTATTTATTGCCATAATGTAGTATGTACATAATATTATGTGGTTATTAGTAATTAATGAAACCTTACATTCTATCAAGATAATGGCGTGCAATATTTTACAGTGAACAAAAAAATATTATTAATACAATTTAATGA